ATATAACTGTATTTATAATCATAAGTTTTAGGGGATGAAACCATATATGAATTAACAGATTTTTCCCAAAAAAAAAAAATAACAGATTTATATTGGATATTGTTGAATATGCAGAGATGGGTGCAATGTGAAAGGGTATTTTGTTTGGTCACTTTTGGATAACTGGGAATGGACAGCTGGATACACTTCAAGGTTTGGTTTATACTATGTGGACTATGATGACAACCTTAACAGAATTCCCAAGAATTCTGTCAAATGGTTCAGGGACTTTTTGGCATCTACTTAATTAATTACTACTTTTTTTTTTTTTTTAGAAATAAATTACTACTTCAATTCAGATCAAAATGGGAAATGTATGTAGGTGCTCTAAAGAATTGCCCTTAATAATTTTTTTTTTATTTTGGTGAGGAGAATGGCCCTTAATTAGCTTGTGTAAAAATCACAATCATATATAAATGGAGAAAAGATAACAGAAATTAAATACTCAAAATATAATTAAATTAACAAGTTTGCCCATATCCACATGCTTCCTACCCCATTAAAAGATAACAGAAAGAAAATGTCATCATATCCATATCCACATAAGGAAAAAATTAAAGCAGTTAGGAAGCATGTCTGATCTGCGTATGCTGACTCATGTAAATTTGTATTTTTATAATTTCAAACATTTCAATATATATTTTAAGTTCTTTTAAAAATGGTTATATTCTTTTCATTCTAGCTTGTCCATACCGGCACGTAATAGTATAATACAAACAAGAAAATGTTGTTACATTACATTCCCTTTGTGACTTAACTCAATGGTTTAAGTATCACTCAGAAAATATTGCTCCAGCGGTAAGGTTGTAGGATTTGAGGTGATTAAGTCTCCTTGTGCGCATAATGTATAGACATCAAGACACGGATGAAAACTAATGATGGATTGAAGATTAGTCTAGCGTAATTTGAAAAACCTAATATATTAAAGAAATATCGAGATGCTACAGTCAAACAGGAAAAAGAATTATTATTATTTTTTTAAAAGTAAAAACAAATGTGGATTTTTCTGAGAATCCTAGGTTAATGCAGAGAATGAGGTCATCCAAGAGTCTAAAATATTTAAGAAAAAAGTGAGCTAGAAGAGTATCTCAATTACAAATGATTTTCATTCTCTAATAAGAATATCAATATATATATATATATATATATATATATATATATATATATATTATAAGTATCGTTGAAATATCGTTAAATGCTAACATGAGATTAATAGAATATTTCTTAATTAATTTTAACATGAGATTAATAGAGTTATAACAAAATGAAGACATTTTGTAAAGTTAAAATATAATATACAACATTTTCAACTTGATGTATAAATTTATTGGGTATCTCCCTCTTTTTGGAAGAAAAAAAAAATGGATTATATAATATATATATAGACAAACGTACGAAGTGCAGGCTTTAGAGACACGCTAGTGAGTTATTACGTTGCTTCCAAGCTTTGCATATCAGTGGTTTGTGAAGCAATGAACTTACATAAACTTACTTAGTAAAATACTCCGTACTATTCTATTCATTTAATAATGTTATTCTTTTAATTTTAATTTGCTACTGGTCGTGTCTTATATATATATATATATATATATATATATATATATATATATATATATATATATATATATATATATATATTGGAAGTATGAATAGCTAAGATTTATATATTATCTCGAGAAAATTTGTTATATGATTAAAAATTACAAGTTATGCCATGACTTTCATAAAAGAATAGAACAATTTAATATAATAATGCATGCTTGTCAAATTTCTTTTTAGTTTATTTTGTTTAGTAATTTTTTTTTTTGATTTAATAGTACTTTTAATGTAGTTCGCTCTTAAATATATAAATTTTATGTTCTAATACTAAACTTAATATTATGAAAAGTTAAATTAAAAATAACTTCAGTCAAGTCTTTTTAACTTGATCAACACATATAATAATGGAACAGAGGAAGTATTGCCCTTTTTCTTTTATTCTTTTATTATTATTATTATTATTATTATTATTATTATTATTTGCATACAACATAAACTCATTTGTTTTTATCTTGGTCATTTCAGAAAACTCATAAATTCTAAAATAAAAATACTAAGGCAAATGAATAATTGCGAAAACAAATTAAGTCTTCTTATATATATATATATATATATATATATATATATATATATATATATATATATATATATATATATATATATATGAGTTCAGGTGCGACAGTGTCTTACGGTGCGGCGGTGCAGCAACACCAATAGTTCAACAAATATGCGCCATCAACGTTAGGAAAATACACCACAAAAAACAGAGTAAACAGAGCCCCGCATCACCAAACACACACCATTAAGTGTGAGTAAAAACACCATATAGTGTTCGAAAATACACCATTGGAGATGGTGAGTTATATGGTGTATTTTTTTGGGTCTGTTGTGTATTTTGTGATGTTTTATTGCATTTCATTGTGGTGTGTTTTTCTTACACTGTTGGTGCATATTATTAACACTGTTGGTGTATTCTGAAATTTCGCCGCACCGCCACACGGGAAGACCCGCCGCATTTGAACTTTATTCTATATATATATATATATATATATATATATATATATATATATACACACACACAAAAGGAAATGAACTAACTGCACAACTTCTCATTTTGCCATAATGGCCTTAAAGTCGTCATCATGCATGTTCTCTTGAATATTCCTTATTATCAATTAAGTGATATAAATTTTGAAATTTTTTAACCTAAGGTATAGTGGTACCAAGTTGCATTCTCATATGGGATGTTGTGAGTTTGAGCTCCAATAGAGACTGTATTGACTCTTTGTGTTTCAGTAGGTTGAGAAAGTAGTTATGAACAGATACTATATTGTAACAAAGCCGCTAGCATTAAAAAAAAAAAAAAAAAAAACTCTTAAAAGTTTTCAAAATTTTAGCACAATGAAAGATGGAAATTAAATGGTATTTTTGGAACTCTAAAGACCAACAATATAAGTTTAATATAATTTGTATTAGACTCTCAAATAGTATTTTCAGTATGTAACAGAAAATTACTATTTATATTTTTAAATTATACTTCTAAGTTTTATTTTATCTCATAAAATTATAATATTGACATTTTTATTGAGACTCATAAAGATAAAAATAATTAATTATCAATCATTACATCAGGAAATAAAAGTAAGAAAACTACGTAAACAATGAATTGGAAAAGGGAAAAGTTGATAACAGTCCAAATGAGCAGGGCGGCATGCAAACAGATACTCCGTATATTTTATATATAGGAGGTAGGGACTAGGGAGTAGAATGGACAAAGCACTAGTGAAGAATGGGAATGATTTCCCATGAAACTCAGGTGGGAAATGGCGAAAAGGGGATTGACTATTGGGCACAATCCACTAGACATACGCAATTACAAGATTGCAATCATTCCCAACATCAATATCTGCCAATCACATGATTATTGTTTACTTATTTAGCAGTTACATATGACTATGAGAGCCAAGATATTGACCCACCACCTCCAATCAAGTGATTAACCACCCAAAAAAAAGATAAAGAACGAAAGAAGCCCAAAGCACCTCACTCATCCACTATCCCGGAAGAGACAAATTAATTAAAGCCCCATGCTAAAGAGTATGTAAGAGATGAAGTTGAAAAATAAGTTTTGAATTATTGCTTTGAAATAGAGATCGAGGGGTTTTTTTTTTTTTTTTTTTTTTTCAATCAACAAATTCTTAACTCTTAATATTCAAATGAGTTAATTTCTTTTTAATTAGTTGTTGGTGCCTTCATAGTTAGTCTTTTATGTGCATATTCTATACTATCCTATTTAAGATCATAACATTATTGGTTATGATAATATGATATAATGATATTTTTATATTTAATCTCTAACTAATAATTTGGTCATATATAAGAGATAGGGTAATAGACAAAATTTTGTCATATACGGAGAATATGTTACTGATTAAAATACATACTCACATGTTGCACATTTATATTTATATATTTTATGTTTAACATACCTCTTACGTGTGTGAGTTAGTTACTTTTTGATGAATTTCAAGTAATATGTGAACCATAATCTCTTTTTATTGGATGATGGGGGAGATTCAAACCCATTAATCTATTACCCTTTCTCTTTTTATTGAATGATGGGGAGATTCAAACTCATTAGTCTATTACCCTTCGCTTGAGTTATACTGAGTACATGGTCGGAGATATATATTGCAAAGAATACAATTACTCTTTCACCTTTCTCTTATATATATATATATATATATATATATATATATATATATATATATATATATATATATAGCAAAGAATACACAACTGTAAGGAAACTATTCTACAATTGAAAATAGAGAAAATGTATGAATACAGGGCACATAGTAGACATATTCTTATCAAACAAGATAGTAATTTAATTTTCAATTATCATTTTTTTTAAATGGTAATGAATTAAATGACATAAATATCATGTTAAGAATAAAATATGATCACAATATTAATTATTAATTAGTTAATAACTAAATTTAAAATGTTATCATTACAAAAACTAAATTACAAATTAACTTTTTTTTTATTGGTGTCAAGAAAATTTATAGTCATTACCCAAATGTATATTAAAATATGCATTAAGAGATATCCATCGAGAGAATGTTGAGCAGAATCAAACTCATAACTTTTAATAAAAAATACTTGACCCTTTCAATCATTTCTTTGAGGACAATTGCGAATTAAAACATGTTTCCTACAAATGTGAGTTATTAATTGGTTGAAGAAGATCGATGAGATAAAAGTGGGAAAAGATCCTCATTAAATTGTGTAATTTTGTTCGATTTGCACCTTTCGCGGCAAATTAAAAGCCATAGTACTATATATACAGCTGATTCATACTTACAAATTAGATAGATTGGGCAAACCAACAACAAACAAAAATATAAGGAGTAGTTTTTTCAAAAAAAAAATTAAAATGAAATGCATATTGGATTTTTCTACATAGTTGTATGCAACCATTTGCATATTAATTAAGTAGTATTATATATATAGTATAAACACCCTACGTTCATCGCCCTAACGCTTCCTGGCCTGCTCATTCCACACTGCATATATATATTTTGCTTCAATTCACTCAACAACCAATTCGATCGATCTCATCATCTTTTCTTTCTTCACCCCAAAACTTATCCATCTCCCATTATATTATATTATATATATAAACCCCTTTTGGTGGTTATAGATTCAACAGATCTTAATTGTGTATATGTATGTATGTTTTGATGATGAGAGGTTGACAGAGTCCATACCCAACAAACTCCATCAGATAATCATTCTTGGATTAGCCATTCTTGATCAATCTTAAAATTAAAGTATGTTGCTGAGGAAAGGCATTATTGTTTCCTCTCCTCCATCATTAAAAGCTGTGGTGTTTGTTGTTGTTGTCGGGTTCCAAATCTGTGTGGCTCAGAATCTCAGCAGAGCTAGTTTCCCCAAAGGCTTTGTTTTTGGAACTGCTTCTTCTGCATATCAGGTTTGCCCGCCCCTTTAATTTTCAATTCTTTCTCTCCACTCAATCCTCATCCACATCTTTCTTTCTTTCCATCTATCACTCGTCCATTTTTCGTGTTTCTCCTCTTTTCCTGTGTGTTTTTTTGTGCTTGAGTTGAGTTTTTATACATATTTTGATTTACGGAGAAACTCATAGCACTTATGAGAATATGTTATGAGTGAATTTGGCCACCCTAATTAACCAATGACCAAATAATCTAGCCTATATTACTTATAGCTTATCTTCTCAAGTTAAGAATACTAATATTTTGATTACTAGGTATGATACATACTAAAATGTATGTATATGAAAAGTTAAAAGTTACTCCCTGTCTCATATGAGGATTGAAGTTATTTTTAATTCAATTTTTTATAATAATAAGTTTAGTATTAGTATATAAATTAAAATTTATATACTTAGAAACTACATTCAAAATAAAATTAAATATGAAAAAAAATTAAATTTAAAAATTACTAAAAAAATAATTTAGAAAAAGTTGATTTGATTGATAAATAGTAAAATGAGACAAAAGGAGTAAGATTTGCATTAAAAATTAAGGTATGATATGAGGAAATTAGGCCAACAATAAAGCATCCTAAAAAAAACAAAGGCAACAAGATTAAGGATGATTCGATACCTTGCGGCAGTACTTGGGTTTCCCATAAACGTCATTTTCTCACTCCCAATACCATCTTTTTCCCTCAAAAAATTGAATCGCTAACCTTGATCGTGATGATCCCTCACACACTTCGGGCTTCCCACGCTACCACTGCTAAGATTCAAACTTTAATCTCTTCTCTCAAATTCTACTTATTGAACCAGTGAGTTAAGCTCATGCCAGCAATATCATCTTCTTCTAAACACATCATTAAGTTATGCACAGAGACAGAGTCACAGAATCCCTATTCTTATGCAGTGACCTAAGCCCTTTGACCTGTCCGCAACTGTGACCCTACGGACTCGCTTTAGAGCGTCGCGTTGGTTGAAGATGAGATCGATTCACAATCATCTCGTAATCAAGACAATGGTCATTGGTCATGACTTCATTAATTTAAATTTGTAAATATATATAGACCATGGAATATACTACTCCTAGCTTAGTGTCTCATTTTATGTCTTCTAATGTTTTAGTCAACTTAGCGTATTGAGATTAGTACATAAAAAGTCACAGGTAAAATAAAGATTAGCACACACTATTAACTTGAGTGCTTAGTCAAATTTTAAGTACTGTTATTAATAATAATAATAAAATAGCAAAATAACAATACTAATGCAAGAAACTACATCTGAATAAAATGTGAAAACTTGTTATTTATACTCAAATTTTCGTAGAATATTACCTAAACGCTGATTGTCAAACAAGACCTATAACTTTTTCTAATGCCTTTGTCTTCATCCAATTAATAAATAATAATATCTTGACAAGGTAATCAATCGAATTAATCTGGTGGTCACGGGATAATCCTAACTATTTCTGATGTGATATAATAATAATAATATTATATGTGCAGTTTGAAGGAGCTGTGAAGGAAGATGGGAGGGGGGCAACTATATGGGACACTTTTGCGCATACTCCTGGTACCCTTTCAACTCAATTATTGTAATTCAACCTTATCTTCATATATACTATGTTAGTTACACCATTTCTAAATTACCTAATTAATGTTGCAGGGAAAGTAATTGATTTTAGTACTGGTGATGTAGCAGTAGATCAATATCATCGTTATGTAGTAAGTTTAGACAATTTCTAACATTATTTGCTTATGCTCACCTTTTATTCTTTATTTATCTTTGAATAATTATAACATTTTCCATATTTCATGAAATAACTTTTGACCTGCAAAGCTGCAAAGAATAAACCCTTTAATTAATTGTTTGTTTTTTGTTTGTCTTTAAATTTGTTCTAACTCACAAACAGGAAGATGTTCAACTGATGAAGGACATGGGAATGGACGCCTATAGATTTTCTATTGCATGGTCAAGAATATTCCCCAGTATGTTCTCTTTCAAAAATATGTATACTTGAAGAATATTTTTATATGATATTTATTTTATTGTAACGGTCAATTATATCTATTTTATTTAAATAATTATACTTTACAATGAACTAACCCAACAGTCTAGTTAAATTCCAACCATGATTAGAGATTTGAATTTCAATTTGATCACATAAGTATTGACATCTGTAATATGTTACTTAGAAAGTTTTGATTTGTGATGTTAGATGGAAGTGGAGAAATCAATCAAGCTGGAATTGATCACTACAACAAACTCATTAATGCTTTACTAGCAAAGGGTGATTCTTTCGTCTTCAATTTGTATAAATTCTCAAGTGTTTTAATTTCCCTCATGAATATTTTTTTGTGTATGCAGGTATTGAACCGTATGTGACACTTTACCATTGGGATCTTCCTCAGGCACTGCAAGATAGATACAATGGTTGGCTGGACCGACAAATCATGTAAAATTTCCCATCTATAGTTAATCTAGAATTATAGTCAGAGACTTTTAGTTGAAACGAAACATAACTGATTAGATAAAATTGAAATTTTCAGCAAGAATTTTGCAGCATACGCAGAGATTTGTTTCCAGAAATTTGGTGACAGAGTGAAGAATTGGATCACCATCAACGAGCCACAAACGGTTTCAATCCAGGGCTATGACGTGGGGCTTCAGGCGCCAGGGCGGTGCACCATCCTCCTCCGTACGTTTTGCCGGGCAGGGAACTCTGCAACCGAGCCCTACATTGTGGCTCACAACTTACTCCTTTCTCACGCCACCGCCGTGGATATCTACAAAAGGAAATACCAGGTAGGTAAAATTAAAAACACCATTCTTAATTATTCTCAGAAACCATTATTTGTGAACTGTTGTAATTTGCAGCCAAAACAACGTGGGAGAATCGCGATAGTAATAGATAGTTTCTGGTTTGAGCCCCTGTCAAACTCCAGAGCAGACATTGAAGCAAAACAGCGAGCGCTTGACTTCCGCTTCGGCTGGTAATTCTCACATAATACATACATTCCTAGTTTTCTGCAAATATGTATTATTGTTTGATCATAACCGATTGAATGTAATGTAATGATGCAGGTTTATTGAGCCTGTGATAACTGGGGATTATCCTATGTCGATGAGAAGCAGGGTAGGTGATCGATTACCTAAATTTTCTGCAGCGGAGTCTGCTCTTATGAAGGGATCTTATGATTTCGTGGGTATAAATCACTATACAACATGGTATGTTACCGACAACAAGACCAACCTTATCGGTATATTCCTCAATGACACGGTTGCAGACTCCGGCGCTGTTACTCTCCGTATGTCCTTAAACCAATCCAACTAGCTAGGATAGATCCAATCACTTTTAGTTATGGGTGGTTTTTAATGTTATTTCATTCTTTTTTCCCAGCATTCAAAGGTCTGATGCCAATTGCAAATAGGGTAAGTATAATAATGTGAACAACGTTAGTTACGTGGATGGTTTAGTACCCATTATATTATATTCCATTGTTGAACTGATTCTGATGGTGGACTACTTTGCAGGCTAATTCGGTATGGTTGTACATAGTTCCTCGTGGGATAAGAAGCCTAATGAATTACATCAAGGATAAGTATGGGAACCCTCCTGTCATGATTACTGAAAACGGTAATTCTCTTTTAGTTGAGACGAGACGAAACGCATCTTTTGATTTAGAATCTCTGCACTACCTGATATATGAAGGTGTAAACTTTTATAAGTATTCAAGAATGAAGCATATATGATTATTTTGCAGGAATGGATGATGCTAAAGGGGACGGCTTACATGACGTGAAAAGAATGAAGTATCATAATGACTATTTGACAAACTTGCTAGCTGCAATTAAGTAAGTAATTTCAGCCATAGATTTGCATTTTCTGGAAAAGGAGCGAGATATTATTATTATTATTATTATTATTATTATTATTATTATTATTATTATATAACAATGGTTTTTGGTTTGGGGTTTAAAATGCAGAGAGGATGGGTGTAATGTGAAAGGGTATTTTGTATGGTCATTTTTGGATAACTGGGAATGGATAGCTGGATTCACCTCAAGATATGGTCTATACTATGTTGACTATAGTGACAAACTCAAGAGAATTCCCAAGGATTCTGTCAGGTGGTTCAAGAATTTCTTGGCTGGTGCTTCAAATCCTTGAATTATGATGACAACACTTGGACCATAATTTCTTTTATCAAGTGACAGAGAGATTCATATCCAAGACTGTACTCTTCATATGTAATTGGCTTTGATATCAAAGTATTAGACGTGTTTTATCTCAACTAAAAGCTCAAGCTGATAGTTGTATTGCACATTATTAATATATTTTGTGCTCAATATTACTATATATCATCTCTTATGAATTTCTTGTTTCATCTTATTGAAACCCTTTTCAATCCATTTAAACAATAAAATGAGGATTTAGATATTGAGTACAGTGTTGTGCCTAAATCTGCCTATCAAAGCAAAATAAAATTAGTGATGGGCACGTAAACATCAATTTTCTGCCATTAACAATGTTAAAGGTAATAAGAGGAGTGTATGACATAGAGAATGAACGATTAAAATTCATTGAGTCATATTAAATACATATTAGTATGAACATATATATGCTGTAACTCGTGATCTTTTAGTACAAAAGTTATATATATTCGATTCACTTAACCACTCATTTCAAGCATTTGCAAATTAACTTTATAACAGGAAACATGTATCCTGCAAATGTGACTTATTAATTCGTTGAAGAAGATGGATGAGCTAAAAGAGGTAGAAGATGCTCATTAAATTGTGCACCTTTCACGCCAACAATACAGCTAGCTGATTCATACGTGCAAATTAGATATATTGGACAAACCAACAACAAAAAATAGTTTTTAAACAAAAGAAAAATGAAATGCATGCATATTGGATTTGTCTACATATTTCAATATATGCAACCAGATCACTAATTAGGTGAAAATCAACCTTTACTTGCGAACTGTGAACTTATAAAAGATTGTACCGCAATTACTGATTACATTGCTGCTACAGTACAATCATATCCGGGCGCGGTGCAATCGTATTCAGGTACATTGTAATCATGTAGTGGGCGATGTACAATCCTTCACAAGTTCGCAGGTTAAGATTGGTTCTCACTATTGGGACCTATGCAACCATTTGCATATGTATTATAAAGTATAAACCCCCTACGTATATACTAAGTATGCATCACCCCCAACGCCTGCATGCTAATTCCACACTGCATAGTTTGTTTCACTCAACAACCAATTCAATTCCACATTTTCCTTCTTCACCCCAAAACTTATCCATCTCCCATTATATTGTGTTATAGATTTAACAGATCTTGATTATGTATATGTATGTGTTACGTTAGTTGATGATCAGAGGTTAGGTTGACAGAGTCCATACCCAACAAACTCCATCAGATAATCATTCTTCGATTCTCTCGATCAGCCTTTGTTGATCTTAAAATTAAAGTATGTTGCTGAGGAAAGGCATTATTGTTTCCTCTCCTCCATCATTAAAAGTTGTGGTGTTTGTGTTTGTTGTTGTTGTCGGGCTACAAATTTGTGGGGCTCAGAATATCAGCAGAGCAAGTTTCCCCGAAGGCTTTGTTTTCGGAACTGCCTCTGCTGCATATCAGGTTTGCAAACTAAAATGCCAATAGACAGTTCTTACAAACAGTCGAGCTTGAAACCTTACTATTACTGTGTTACTTGTTTTTTATATATACTGAAAGCAAAATCAAAGGCTAAGATGTACCGGAGTATTATATATTTACATTAAAAAATTAAGTTTTGATATGAGGAAATTAGGCAAATAATAGAGCTAAGATATCAGTAGAGATGATCACGGTTTTGTTTCGATTCCGGGTTTTGGTTTGAACATCCGGTTCGAATTGGATTTTTTAATTATGGTTTCTATTTTTAAAATAGAGTTATTGTCATATGGGATCCTCCGATTATAGTGATTTTGACACGTTTAGTCATATACTTTCAAATTGAATACCGTGCCCCTTAGACTTTTAAATTGTTACTATCCGTGTTTCAAGTTAACTAGACATGGTCCTTCAACTTTCAAAATTTAACTAATCTCAAAAACCATTCTCTCCATTAGTTTTAGATTTTTTTTCCAAGTTTTTTATAGATCCACAATTCTACTCCATTATATTTTAATTATTTATTTAATTACTATCATTCTAAAAAATATTATTGTACTTATAATTATAAATTTGATAATAATATTATTGATAACTAAGAAGTCATAGAGATACTCAGATACCATTGAGTTACAAGCTATTTGACATTTAATTATGGTATTATAACTTTTTCTAATGCACTGTGATCTTCTTCCAATTAATAGTATTCATAGTAAATCTTGGCATGTCTGTTTCTACTATCATCACGACAAGGCAATCAATTCAATCTAATTAATCTGGCTGGTCTCTACTGGATAATCCTAATTATTTCTGATGTGTGATATAATAATAATATTATATGTGCAGTTTGAAGGAGCTGTGAAGGAAGATGGGAGGGGGGCAACTATATGGGACACTTTTGCTCATACTCCTGGTACCCTTTCAACTCAATTATTGTAATTCAACCTTATCTCCATTTCTAAATTTACCTAATTCGTATATATTGATATTCCAGGGAAAGTAACTGATTTTAGTAACGCTGATGTAGCAGTAGATCAGTATCATCGATATTTAGTAAGTTTGAATAACCTCTAACATTATTTGTTTATGTTCATTTCTTTATTCTTTATTTTTTTTCTTGAATAACTGTTGGTCTGCAAGGCTGGAAACCCTTTAATTTATTTATTATTATTTTTAATTGTTCAAAATCACAAACAGGAAGATATTGAACTGATGAAGGACATGGGAATGGATGCCTATAGATTTTCTATTGCATGGTCAAGAATTTTCCCCAGTATGTTCTCTTTCAAAATATGTATACATATAGAAAATTGGAGAATATTATTATATATATGATATTTATTTTATTGTAATAGTCAACTATAAGTCTATAACTACTTTACAGTTCCACGTACACCTTAATATATATGTCAATTTAGACAATAGTTAGAGATTTGAATATGAGTTCGACCAGACCACATAAGTATTGGCGTCTGTACCGTGTTACTTAGCAAGTATTGATTTAATTTGTGGGGTTTGTGATGGTAGATGGAACTGGAAAACTCAATCAAGCTGGGGTTGATCACTACAACAATCTCATTGATGCTTTACTGGCAAATGGTGATTCTTTAATTTAATTTTGTCCTCAAACTGATGAATTAAAGTGGTTTGAATATATATAATTCCCTGATGAATATATATATATATATATATATTGTGTTGGTGATGAATGTGTGTGCAGGTATTGAACCGTATGTGACACTTTACCATTATGACCTTCCTCAGGCACTGGAAAATAGATACAATGGGTGGCTGAACCGACAAGTGATGTAAATTAAATTAAATTAAAATTAATTAAGTTTGTTTGATGGAATTGAGATAAAACAAAAATGAAATGAAATTAATTTTGATTTCAGCAAGGATTTTGCAGCATACGCGGAGACATGTTTCTTAATATTCGGTGACAGAGTGAAGCAGTGGGTGACGATCAACGAGCCACGTAGCATTACAGTGCTGGGGTATGACCTTGGGGTTCATGCTCCAGGTCACTGCAGTATCTTCTTTCATTTACTTTGCCCCACTGGCAACTCCGCAACCGAGCCTTACTTTGTGGCTCACCACCTACTCCTTGCTCACGCCGCCGCCGTCGATATCTACAGAAGGAAATATCAGGCAAAACAGGGTGGGAAAATCACGATAGTGGTGGAGAGTTTCTGGTATGAGCCCCTCACAAACTCCCCAGCAGACATTGATGCAAAACAGCGAGCCATTGACTTTTACTTAGGCTGGTTCGTTCGTTCCTACAACATATATATTACATTAATTTAAGGATCAAATAGACTATCTAACTATAATATGATCCAGGTTTCTTGAGCCTGTGATGACTGGGGAATATCCACGGTCGGTAATAAGCAGGGTAGGCGATCGATTACCAAAATTTTCTGCAGCGGAATCTGCTCTTCTAAAGGGATCTTATGATTACTTGGGTGTAAATCACTATACAACATGGTATGCTTCCAGCACCGACACCAACATCATGGGATTATTCCTCCATGACACCCTTACAGACTCCGGCACTTTTACTCTCCGTATGTCCCTCCTACCTTAATTATATCCTATATCCAATCACTTCAATTATGCTTTTTAATATTGTTTCATTCTTTTTTCATTTCCCAGCATTTAAAGGTCTGATGCCAATAGGAGAAAGGGTAAGTATATATAACCCCAACAACGTAACGTTACTTAGCTAGGTGGATGGCCTACTCGATATACTCCATTATATTGTTGAACCCATTCTGATATGATCTGATCAATCTGATGGTGTACTTTAATTTGCAGGCTAATGCAGTATGGTTGTACATAGTTCCTCGTGGGATGAGAAATTTAATGAATTACATCAAGGACAAGTATGGGAACCCTCTTGTCTTCATTACTGAAAATGGTACGTACAGTAATTAATTAATTCTCTCCATCTCACATCACGTTTTGATTTTAGTTGAGACGACAACGATGAAAAACATCTTTCCTTTCAAAATCTCCGCACTACCCGATAAAAAAACTATATATGTTCACTAGTCACGTCACTTATACAAAAAGTATTCAGCTAGCTAGCATATTTGTGAAGCTAAGGTTTAAAGTTTTAAAAGTTGCTAGTATTCAAGAATGAAGCATTGCATGCATGCATGATTATTTGCAGGAATGGATGATGCTAAAACGGACGGCTTAAATGACATTAAAAGGATCAGGTATCACCGTGACTATCTCAAAAGCCTGCTAGCTGCAATCAAGTAAGTAATTTCAGCCTTATCTTCTACTGTACTGTCAAAGATTTAATTACATTTTCTGGAAATTAATATAATGGTTGAAAATGCAGAGAGGATGGGTGCAATGTGAAAGGGTATTTTGCATGGTCATTGATGGATAACTGGGAATGGACAGTTGGATTCTCCTCAAGATTTGGTCTATACTATGTTGACTATGATGACAACCTCAGGAGAATTCCCAAGGAGTCTGCCAAGTGGTTCAAGAATTTCTTGGCTTCTTGAATTATGAATTATGATATCATTTAAGCTGGTAATTG